AAAATTGGATTCATTTGAAAGCTTTATCATTTACTTTATTAAAATAATAAAAAACGAACATGAAATGCTATTGCCAATTTTCTGTAAAGCTAATTGATATATTTTTTTTGGGACTTTGCTAAATTTTTGTCCCTGAAATTTTAACATGGAATTTTTTAATGATAGCTCTGACACAAGCATATACATAATAATTATATAAAAAATCATACCAGTCTATAGCAAAAGTTCTGGAGATTATGTATATAAAGTTTCACACTTCCAGATTTTCTAGAATTTTGTCAATTGAAAATAAAAGGAATTTGATTATTTGAAAAAACCATTCAAATATGTAAATTTCTTTAATAATTGCTCTAAAGCCTACATAACAATATACTTCAAAACTTTTCTATATTATAATCTAAGCTCTTCCGATTCTCTGGTATAATTTTTATTTGGCTAATTTTTCATTAAAAACAATATTTTACAAACCGCCATTTTTTTTTTGAAACACACTGTATAGTTTTGGAGTTCTAATGCCATTAATCTCAACATGTCATAATCAATCAATACAGTAACTCCTATACATAAAGAAATATAATTAATATAACATAATAATTGATCTATATATACAGGTAGTGATGTTAGCCGATAGAAAATCTTAGCCGGCTAGGAACTTAACTGATGAAAAACTTTTCAGATGGTATTAAGCTTGCCAATATTATTATTGCTACTACTGTCGTTATTATTACTACAGTATAATTATCATTATGATCATAATATCTCGATTTAATGGTTCGAAGTTTATTCGAATTATTTGTTATGAATTTGAGTATTCGAATTATAAAATGAATAAAACAAATAATTCGAATAAAATGAATTGAATTAAATAAAAATTTATATTACGAATAGAAACTCCAACTATGACCTTTATCCTGCTATGGTGTATTGTATTTTGTTTTTTGAATTTTTTTTTGTAATTCTAAGTAATGCAAGTGAACTCGTCTCAACTAAATTTCTATGCCACTGAATTCTGCCAGATGTAAAAATGAATGTTATTAGCCGGCTAACATCACCATATACAGATATACAGGTCAACATCCTTTCAGTAATCTTCCATGTGGTCTAGACCTTGCTATAAAAATATGTAAAAAGTTGAGACCTGGTTTTTCAACAACTATAGATGAATTAGCATACAGAGGTAAAGAAACTTTCCTTGATTTTCACCTATTGCTATAACCATTTACCCAAATGCTGTTTACACTGGTAGGTTTTTGGATAATAGTAATTATTTTATTTTTACAAATAAATAACTTTCATTATCAAACTCTGTCAGTAATTGATAGTATCTACTCTTTAAAGTCGAGTTGTTATTATTTACGTTAGTGATGAAATAATCACAGTGGTGTCACAAAACAAGAAATAAAGCCGCACTTTTCTATTCGAGGTCTTGACGTATTTCATTGTAGCTGCTAAATGAAACGTAATGATCAAGACTTTTTGTATATACTCTCTCCTTCATGCCTTTTCTTAAAAAACAGAAAGCATAAATGAAATTGGGGAAAATTTTGATTTTTAAAAGAAAACGAGAGATTAATAAAAAAATTATTTGATGAAATAGATAAATTTCCTTTGATTCTTCCAACAATTCACCCAAATACCATCCATCAATTCTAATAAAATCACAATTATTGATAATTACAATAGTTTTTTTATTTTATATTTACGGATTGATTTTTAACGAGTTAAGTGCTTATTTGTTTTATTGGTAAAATGAAACACAGATGTCATTTTTCTTTTTAAAAAAATTCTAAAATGAAAAGTTATATTCCAATCCTTATAACACAAATGTCATTTTTCTTTTAAAAAAATTCTAAAATTCTAATATATGTATTATAAATTACAAACAAATAAAAAAAGATTACAACATTTTAAAAGTTTTTGGATAAAATAGAATGATATCTTTGCATATAAGCGCCATATGTACTTATCCTAATTCTAAATACTTTGAGGCCATTAGCAGCCACCATAAGATCAGTCAAAGGTATTAAATATTTATACATTACTTTATTATCTACAGGATTTATAAAATATTCGTAAGGTTTAAGTTGATCAGTGTAATCAGAGAGCATTTTCAGACAAGGAAATTCTTCCAGGAATACTTTCATTGATTCATGGTTTCTATCAAGATCACTGGCCACATATAATATTCTATTTTTCTCGTCCCTAGGTTCAGTAAAATTAAGCGGACATTCTTTCAAAGATGACGAGTATCTTGAGACTTCTGGAAATTCTTTGTTGATATTTTCTATTAAATTGGCAAAATTTTTTTCTCTTCCTCTCTTAAAATCGCTATCACCACCTCTGGCATGAACTGAAATATATTTGCCGGCACCACCCAATTTTTCAACTATAGAAGACACCACACTTAACATTGATGGATTGATTGGTACAATTGATTGCTTTAATTCTTTAAAAAACTCTCTTGATGGTGTCAAACGAAGCATAACTCTATGTGAGCCAAATAAACTGCCAAAATACAAAAGCTTTTCGTGACGTTTCTTGAGTTCTTCTAATGATTGAGGTATTATAAGATTGCCACCCTTGATATTGTCAAGGTTCGGTTTTGTTTCAGTGTCATATAATACATTATTTTGTTTACTGGTAATTGAGAAATATGCTTCTTTTCTTGGCTCGGTGATATTTAACATTTCAAAAATTGTTTCATCATCGTAATTTGGTATATTGATGACTTTTACATGTTGTCTGATAAATGTAAAGTCGAATATTTGGTCAAATGGATAAAGTGTGTATGAACTATGGAACGTTTGGCATTTTTGTTTTTTAGCCTTCACCTTTATATTTCCACAAATTGAATCAACAGGTTCAGCCTTTAGACTTTTTGCCATGCGTTTTATGTCATTGTACGGAAATCTAATTCCAAGTAGAGCAGGTGGTAGGATTAATGTTCTATTAAGGGACCAAGCCACAACTATAGCATTTTCTAATCCTCTTACTTGATTATGAAATCCATTATGGGGCATAAATGTCATATATTTCTCGCCTTCGTCCTTGCTCGAGTTGTCAAGATAATCTGTTCCATTGTTATCATCATCATCATCATTATTATTATTATTGTTATCATTATTATTACCATTATTATTATTACTGCTATGATTACTATTATGAATAATATCGATAATAACGATAACAGAGTTATTTTTGTGTGTGATTATGGTTTCATTGGGTGACATTGGCAATAATTTGTCGTATGAATTCAATAATGTGTTTGAAAATATTATTTCGAATAAAATAAAACATGAAATGGCTATCAATATAAAATATTTTGATAAGTGTTTGATTTCCAAATTATTATCTGGTTTGGTGTTAACCCCACCATCACCATCATCATTATTAATATTTTCTGATTTTAATAACGGTGTTAGCAAAGACATTTTTTTTTAAAAATAAGGAGCAGGTTTTAAAAAAAGAAAAAAATTTGGGGACTTTTTTTTTTTAGGTTTGTTAGTTATCAATCAATTGGTTTATTTATGCATCATTATTATTATTTATTGTTCGTGGTCGCCTTTATATTGACGGATTTGTAATTTGAATTCCTAATTATGTAAACATTATTTATGTAAACTTGGACAAAAATATCAGGAGCAGCGGATCTTTCTTAATAAGGAAATTTTATAAATAGATTTTACACAACTAATAGCCTCTCGTTTTTTATTTATTCTTTCCATTCGTATTTTATTTATTAAGTTCGTGCCATTAAGTGTGCTCACATGTTTGCCGATGCTTTTTAGGTAACAAGAAAGAAGAAGTAGGCAGGATAATTCGTGTTGAACTCGAAATTGACCAAAAAGTTACGTAGTTCACATCAAAATACTATTGAGATAGCTTTTATCCAATCACAAAAGATCGGTATTTGGGACTACCCTAAACTTTGAATATAATGTATATAGGACTCTGAGATCATCATTACTATTTTAGTACACGGCGAGTTTCCGTTCAAAACCAAATTTTTCTATAATAGGCCGTTCAAATTTAATTATTTGTTTAACATCCTTTTATTTAAAATTAAGAGGCAGAGAATAATTATCATAATATTTGCAAACCTGCTGTAATGCAAATTTATTATGTAATATGTAACACCATATTAGAACTTAATTACAGTAGGCATGTTCGAAAAATATCAATTTACATCCATGAGGCTTCATCTTTCCAGTTAGTAAAAGAAATTAAGATGAAATCCTATAGCTGGACATCCTTTTCGGTATCAACGATTAACATATTCTTGTTAGGAATCAAAAAAAAAATTGAGATTCGCACAAGCCAACTAATATATGAAAAATATTAGTATGTCGAGACCATTTATATAAAAATACTAATACTGTGTATAGAGCTCGATCTGTCACGAGCACTAAAAAAAGATTTGGATCTATAAAGCCAGAACAAAAAAAACCAAATAATAACAGCATGAGCTGCTCGGGGATCTGGATATTATGTAGCATGTGGTGTGACACCAACAAGTAATCAGAATAGAAGCAATAAAAATGATATATCTTATTGAATTGAGATCAGATTCAAAGAAATTGTATCAAGCTCAAGAACACGACTCAAATCCGGCTTTTCAAATACGTTTAGCTATCAAAGCAAAACGTGTTGTTATTATAGATTTTGCTTTGTTAACACCACACTTGGTTTATCAATTAGGAGATAAATATTTGATGAAAGATATGAAGCAAATTCTTTCTTAACTACTCTCATATATGGTTAATGGACTTCAATAAATATAATAACATGGTTTTAACTGGAGGCTCAGATGGTATTATTATATTGTGGGACATTCAATAAAATTAGTTGGTGCGTCAACAGAACGTGTTTATTTATCAAACTGTATTGAATAATGGGGAAAATATTAGATCTTATAATGAGTGCAAATTTAATTAATATCTTTTTTATTGATTGTTAAATATCAGTAGTAAAAAATCTTTTTTAACAAGAGGCTATATTTCTTAGAGACCTAAAGAATATATATTATGTTTAAAATGATTTATAACTATAATAATAATAATTGTTATTATCATCATCATTATCTACCGTAAGTAGGTATAATACTTTTTAATGCATCAACCAAATTTTGATTCTTGGAACATTCTAAATCTTCCTTGAATTTTGTTCGACATTCTGGACACTTTTTACCATAATATTTTACAGATTGTTTTATGCATTCATTACAAATACTATGTGTGCATGGTGTAGTCACAGGATCCTCTAACAGCTCATGACATACTGGACATTTGAAATGTTTTTCAACAAGACTTGAAATCAAATCAGCTAAAGTTTCATATTCTGATCTCAATACAGTGTTCCAAACACGTTTGTTCAATATATCTTTCTTTATCAATTTCAAAGTATCACTGGGCAACTTGTAGCTTGAAGCTTTCCTAGCTTTCTTATTTTTTGATGTTGACAAGGAACTTTTGCCAGAAATTTCTTCAGTTGTTAAACTATGCTTTCTATTATCTTTACATTCCTCTGGCATATACATTTTTAATCCTAAATCTATTATTCTTTTCATTCCTTTCGGAGTCCAAGGAGCTGGTTCAGTGTCGTCACGTCGCATAAAAAATCTCCAAACAATAAAACCAGATGTTCCTTTTTCAGGCCAATACTTTAAAAACCAAAATTATATAAGTTTTTAAAATTAAATTGTAACATATACATAATCAACCCGTTAAACCGAAGACCACTTTTCTTCGGATTAACGAGATAATTTAAAATAGAAGTGGTTTCAAAAAAATCTAAAAAAAAAAAAACGGTTTAACGGGGTCTAGGTAAAAGGCTACGATTTAACGGACATATAATTTTGCTTTGTGCTTTTAAAAAAGTTCGTTTTTCAGATTTACGGAGTTGACTATGTGTATACAAATTAAAATTACCACTTTACCTTGACTACTTTGTAGATTCCATCATAACGAACTCCTTCATCAGGTGCATATTGTGGATTATGTTTTTTCAATTTATCTGTACGACAAACTCTAATTGGTTTACTTTTTGTCCAATCTTTTGCTTCAGCACCTTCATTTTTATTAATTGGTGCGTCACATGTTAATGCAAGTGCTTCATTTTGTTTTGTAAGTTCTTGATCACTTGATTGCTCAGCAGTTCGTTTATTACCAGTTTTCAAATCTCTCCCACCACTGCCAGTATATGTGAACTCTTCACCATTATCTTTGTCTTCAGGATACCCACCTCCAAGAACAATTGAAACAGCACCTACACGTGCTTTTCCTGCTATACCCGAAACTGGTGGACTAATATTTGTGTAAAATTATTATATATGGTATAGATAAATATAAACACATATGCGTGTATGTATATTCTTTGATCAACTCACCGATGTACTCCAGATTCAGAACAACTTATACGATACTTCCAAGATGAGCCAACAGGAATTCCAGGTATTGGTCCAAAATGGTCAGGACCAACAATTTCACATTTTTTGGTTAAACCAACACAAGCCATACCACCTCCCCATTTTTTTGTCTGAGTAGCAGAATGCATTTTTGATTTTTTTGAATTAGTTAAATCCAATTTCTGTCCTGCCAAAATTACTTTACTGTTATCATTTTTACACACGTCACAAAACCTTATTATTATTAAAAATAAAATTTCTTTTAAAAAAAAATGTAAATAAAAAAAATGAATACGAGTAGATTTGCGATAATTACCAATCATCTTTAGGAAGTGATGTCATTCGAGGTTTTAAGCACCTAAAATGAAAATAGTATTGACATTCATCACAAACAACAGTAGATTCTTCTTCGCCTTTACCTCCACAAACATTGCATCCACAATCCTTACATTTTTTTTTTTTATTATTATTACATTTATCACAATAAAAATAATCCTCAAATCCTCCAAATTCTCCAAATTCTTCAAATCTTTCAAATCCTTCAAAAACATTGTTCTGATTTGATAATGGTACTGGTGGTATTGTTTCTTCTACTATTGCTACGATAGGTATTTTAACAGAAATATTGTTATCAAGTTTAGTTACTTTTTGTTTAATCGGATCTTGCTGAAAAAGTAACACGGTGTTAGTGTTTTTGATTCCATAATGAAAGAGTGTATGACCGTTTTCGAGCTATGTATAATAAAAAAAAAGAATTTTATATACGTATATATATATAATGGTGAAAAATATGTGTACATATAATTTAACACGCGTAATGATTTATTTACCTGTTTTCCACCAAAAAATAGTCTTTGCTTCTCTGGTGAATATTTCATTCCTAATCTTTCTGCTATTTTATTTCTAAGTTCCTTAATATCATCAGTTGGTTTACATTCAGTTTTAACATTTTTTTCCTCACATCTAACGTAAATGAACATCTTTTTTTTTTTTTCTATTGCTATCTCAAACCCCTTGAATATAGAATATATAGTGAATCTCGATTTAACTAGTACAAATTTAGAAACTTTCTGCAGTAACATCCAATCAAATTCCTTTTTTGCAGATAGTTTCTAAATTTGTACTAGTTAAATATTCATTAAATCGAGATCATTGGAATACTCGTTATATCCGCAATACTTATTATTTTTATCATATTAATACTTTTACTTTTGGATAATCATCATAATCATAATCAACAATTGTCCTTCTGATTCTAACTGTTGGATGAAATTTATAAAATAATCTCTAAGATGTTTAAGAAATAAAAGTAATATATACTTTTTGTCTGGAAGTATACTGTGAGATTTTAATAAATGGTTTGATCCCAAATATAACATTCTCCAAGTCTTTCATGCTTTGCCAAAGTTTTGTGTTTTTTTATTTAACGGTCTACTCTCGATCTATCTTTGGTAATGGACTCTTATCATTAATTAAGGAAATTTTATCAATTTTAAGTATTACAAACATTCGGGTATTACGATATTCGAAAGTATTACTATTACGAATATTAGAAAGTATTACGATATTCGAAGGTATTAACGAATATTCGAAAGAATTATGATACTCGTAATAGGAACACTATTATGGATAATCAATTGGGCTGCACAAGTTTGGCCATACAATATCCGGAGAAATATACCAATTATAACTACGTACTTGGCGAAATTCAAACTAACTAAAAAGCAATCTAATAAAGAGATAATTCTTTTAAGCAAAATTGACATTGATTTGGTAATTATTTTTATCTACGCGAGTCACTTTAATTGATTGGTGCTTAGAAACAAAACTAACATTATTGTTATTAACAAGGGAACTTTTGCTCCTGAAATTTCTTTGTAACATCGATATTCACTTTGTCTGGTTTTGTTGCAGTACGCTTTATATGTACCTAATGCGGTCATTTTCCGGTAGGCTTATCCTATTCCTTTGGCCACGGTGGAACAGGATAACACGGAAAATTCGCTAAAATTATCCGGAAAGATTTCACCGGACAGTAATATATACTCTTTTGTACAACTTCCCTGTCTGCATGTGCTGTTCATATAAAAATAAAAATAAAAATTCACATTAAATTTTTGTAATATTATATGTAAATAGATTGGTCAACCAACCAATTTTGGTCTGGTCAATATGCCATTATTAAAATACTAAATATGATTATATATGATTTTCCAGATAATGTTGAATTTGTGTTGAGAACCCCTTTATGTGATCTGATGAGAATAATATTAATAAACTGGTGTATCTCTTATTTTATTTTTTCAATGATCTATTCAATATTAGAAATCCAAGTAAAAAAATATAGCATCACAATAAATTACAGGTTGATTTTTATATTTTGATAATTGAAAAAAAAAATAATAATGTAAGGAAATTTTTTTTCCTAAATAAATAAAATAATTAAACAATCTTAATTGGTTAATTAACTAATTAATAATATATGTATTTATTTCTCTACAAATTAGAAATAACTTCATGTGTAAATTCTGTCGTTTTAGAATTACCACCCATATCAGGAGTTTTGGCCTAAATTATAATCAATTTATTTATTTTTAGATTTTTAGAAAAGAAAATAAAGATAATAATTTATTGCATTAATCAATCATGAATAATCATACCGATCCATGTAGCACCGTTTTAATTACCGCATCATAAATTCTGCTAGCATAATCATCAAGTCCTAAATGTCTTAACAACAATACTCCCGAAAGAATAAATGCTGTTGGGTTAGCTTTATTATCCCCTTCAATATCTCTAGCTACATGACGTGTGCCCTAAGTATTTTTTTTATAGAATAAATTATAAATTATTCATTTTTTATTAAAAATAAAAAAAAAAAAAAAACAAGTCTTACCGGTTCAAATAATGCAAATTCTCTACCTATATTTGCACCTGGAACAATACCCGGTCCACCAACCAATGCTGTACCGATATTGCTTACAACTGCTCCATACAAATTAGGCATTACCATAACATCGAATTGTTGTGGTCTGGATACAAGTTGCATAGAACAATTATCAACTATCATATCATTAAATACAATTCCTGATGATTTATAATCTTCTGAAATTTTACGACACGTATTTAAAAATAATCCATCACCAAGTTTCCTATATAGAAATATAAAATAAAATGAAAACAAACGTGAGGGTGATTAGTATTTTTGATAATTTAATATATTATATATATATATATATATCTATAAATTATTTTCAATTGTTTAAGAAAATTATACATGATGTTGGCTTTATGGACGCATGTAACTCTTTTACGTCCATTTTTAAGTGCAAAATCGAATGCAAATCGTGCAATGCGTTCAGTTTTTTCTCTAGTTGTAATTTTCAATGATTCCACTACTCCTGGATATGACTATCAAAAACAAATAATGATGATAATAATGATGATGATGATCATTGTTATTAATACATTTATAATTGTGTATATTTTATTTGTATGTAAAATACCTGATGTTCTAGTCCTGAATATTCTCCCTCAGTATTCTCACGGATAAGAACAAAATCTACATCACTATGACGTGTTGGGTATCCTTTAATATTTTTTATTAATACCAATGATGCATAAATATCTAAATCTTTAAGCATTGCAACATTAAAAGATGGATGATCATCTTTTTTTAAGGATGTATAGATTGCTCCTTCAACCACCAATCAATCAATCAGTTGATTAGAAAAATATTAATATTAAAATAATTCAATATTTATTTATAATAATTTCAAAAAAACTACATTAACACATACCTTTTAATGCAACTTTATTTCTTCTTAAACTTTCCAGACTTTGTTGAAATAACAAATCACTATCTTTAGTATACCCAGTAACATTATACTGTTCCCATTCGATTGGAACATTGGCTCCTTTGAATACTGCTTTAACTGATTCTGCAATCTCTGGTCCAATACCATCTCCTGGAATCAATGTCACAGTATGCTTTCTTCCATGTTTAGTGGTATAATCCTAAATACCAAAAAATATGATTTAAATGATTATTGATGATTTATATATGTATGCGTAATGTGCTTATTGATTTACTGATTATATTTTTTTCTTTTTAATAATAATTTAAAGTTGAATATTTACCTTGGCGGTTGGTAAAGCTAAACTACGAAAATTCTATTTATTTTTTTTTTTTCAAATAAAAGAATATTATATATATATATATATATATATTATAATAACCAACCAATCATCAAGCAAGCAAGCAATCGAGTAAAAGATTATTTATTTACTTGTTTTATTCCATTAAAAATAATTGGAAAAGGTTTTCTAGTAATTGAATTCAACATTTTCGTTAATTATTAATTATTATTTTTTTTTATCATAATAAAGATCATCACATGTCAAAAACAAAAGTAATATATGTATATATATATATAGTTATGACATTTGGAATTGTTTAATTGAAATAATATTTCATTTATTTTAAGCCCAAGATAAAAAAAATAAAATATTACTTGAAAAATATAGAAAAATATTAAATTTTTTCAAATCTAAAGATTTTCACTTAACAAAAATAAATAACTAATTAAACTAAATATACAAATATTATGCGAACGTTGCAGGAAAAAAATTAACTGATGAATGTGGAAAATGATGAAATTTCTAGATTCCTTTATTATGGGTGTAGATTAAATTATAAAAATGATATTCGATGGATTCCATTTAAAGAGTTTAGAAATATTGAATGTTTGGCCAAAGGTGGTTTCGGAAAAGTTCATAAAGAAACTTGTATTAAATAACATTATAAATGTAAGGAATTCAACTTGTAAATAAAATTCCGATGTAACCGAATTTAAAGGTCTTATTAACTTTTTTAGTTAAAAGTAAATAATAATAATAATGAAGACACTCCTGAATTCTACGCTGATTTAATGAAAGAATGCTGTCAGAAACAGACCTACTTTTCTAGAAATTAGGGAATATATTTCTTCGAAAGCAAATTGAATCAGCAGAAACCAAACGCCAAAAGATCATTAAATCAGAAAGTATTTAATTGATGAAAAGAATCATAAAAACCATCCAGAAATCTTTTACAAGCCATCTACTAATTGAACAAGCCAATTCACACGACCTTTCATCAAATAAATCAAACCAACAAATGATACTTCAATTAATACTTTATCAATCTTAAATATGGTTTGCTTTGACAAGTGATGTTGATTGATGGTTAACGGTAGCGATAATGGTAAAAGGAAATGTTTTGACAAATTTTTGAGTTATCTATTAATGTCAACTTTTCTTTATATATATATATATATATATATATATATTGTATTATTTAATTTATAAACAATAAAGAAATTTTTATTGAATCCATTATTACGTGTACGTTGTTAATGTTCTGAAAATTTAATAAATTAAATGTACAAACGAGACAACTGCCATTATAATCGTTGCATTCTGCTGTTTGAATATGCTTGTTAAATAAAATAATGCGTGGTTTATTTAGATCGCTAATGGTTGAGAATACTGAACAACTTGACATTTGCTTCTGTAAAAAATATATTAGTGTTAGTATTCGTTCAATTATATGTAATGCATATCGACTGAATATTGAAACCAATACCTTTTGATCATTCTTTCATGCACATTCTCTCAAATCTATATAAAAGAAATGAATAAAGATATTAATGTGTTATTTTCAATGACATACGTTATTTGCTTTCGTAGAAGACAGACTTGCTTCTTGATTGGTTGGATCACGTGATAGTATACCAAAAATATTATTGGCACGACTTCTCATATCAAAAACAATTTTAAATTGTGCATAGCGAAAAACAAACGCAGAAAAGGGGGTTTTCCTGTATTATTTTTATTTAATAAACCAATAACTGCAGGGAAAATCATTACCAAACATTTAATTTGTAAAATGAGCTATTTATTAAATGGTAAAATTTTTTGCGCATGTTTTCGTTCCTAC